TATGGTCAGGTGCGTCTTATGGAGTGAAAAATACGGTACATAAGTAGGTGTGTGCAGTGGTGTTGGATGAGATTTTTAATCTGCAGTTAAAAAAGAGCATATATGCCAAAGCATGGGGGCCTGGGGTGGCCAGTGGGTAGATGGCCCCTATGCTTCGGCATATATATTTTATATTATTTTTTGGCACATTTCATGTGTGCCCACCATTAGAAGTGGGTGGATGCAGGGTGGTATATTCTAATGGTGGGTATACCACACACTTTTTCTGGCAGATATTTCTTCTCTTTTTTTCATTCAGCATACAGGCTGCATAAAAAAAGAATATATACACCCAACAAGGACCAGCAACGGGTTGGTACATAACTGGACTTTGAATGGTTATACCAGGATGATCCCTGCAGCTGCAGGCATCATCCTGGTATAATTTTTTTTTCTGCTGACAATTGGCTTTCATGTACAAGCAATCCTAGTGGTTAATTAGCTGCAGGATTGCTTTTACAAGCAGCGAGAGAAGATGCCCCCACTCCCCCGCTTCCTTCCACGGCCTTCTCGGGCAGTCCCGTGCCATCGGGGGAACCTGAGAATGCAGCCGGTGTTTCTGCCAGCTGACCATAGAGCTGATTGGAGACCAGAATGGTGCCAATCATCTCTATAGCCTAAGAAATCGGCAGCTACGAGCATTTAATCACTTCACTTTCGCAGGATATAAACAGCGCCATTTGTAAATTGGGAAAGCATTTGATCACACCGATCTTGGTGAGATTAGATAATGTAAGGGGCAGAGGAGATATCTAGAGCTTGATAGACCCCAGATTTCTCAAAAAAGAATATATGACAATGCCCATTGAAGTTATAGGGGATATTTGCATTCCCTGTGACAGCATTAAAAAAAAATGAAAGGGACAGTGTAAAAATTATTTTAAAAAAATCAAATAAGTTAAAAAAAAAAAGGTGTGTGCACCTGCGGGCGCGAGTGTTGACCCTGTGCCAGTATGTAAACAGTGGTTGCACTATGCATGTGAGGTATCGCCGTGAACGTCAGCTTAAGGGCAGTAATTCTAGCTCTAGACCTCCTCTGTAAATAAAAAATGGTAGCTTGTAAAGGCTTTTAAAGCGTTGCCTATGGATATTAAAAATGTATGCAGTTTGTCACCATTGCACGGGGTATGCGCAGTTTTAAAGCATGTCATGTTTGGTATCTATTTACTCGTCATACCATCATCTTTTACCAAATAATTGGCCAATATATTGTGTTTTTGTGCATTAAAAGTAAAAAAAGTGTATTTACGTAAACAAATGTGCATTTGAAAAATCACTGCGTGAGTACTATGTGACATAAAAAAAATTGCAGCACCCACCATTTTATTCGCTAGGGTGTCTGCTTTAAAAAAATATATAATGTTTGGGGGTTCAAAGTAATTTCCTAGCAAAAAATACAGATTTTTTTCATGTGAACAAAAAGTGTCAGAAAAGGCTTGCTCTTCAGGTGGTTAGAAAAGTGAGTCATGTGTGGCATAAACTTCTAATGCTGAGCATAAAATGCACCCACCACCCAAAACTACCCCTTTTTGGAAAGTAGACACCCCAAACTATTTGCTGAGAGGCATGTTGAGTCAATAGAAGAATTAATTTTTTTACCACAAGTTTTTGGAAAATGGCAAAAAAAATTCTATTTTTTTTTTTGTTTACAAACGATTTTATTGAAAAAAAGTAGACAATAAAACAACAACACATTTTCAAATAATATTTACAGCAAAAACAAGGCATTTTTGAAAAGTACAATTCAGAAAAGTATATTATAGAAAGATAGAGAAGAAACAGAAAAAAAGAAGATTGCAAGTATATGAGATACGTTAATGATAAGATAGGTTGAATGATACGTCTGTCAACAGTATATGTCAGTCATTTTTCACTAGAAATGTTGTTAATCATTCAATAAATGTCTATAATCCCTCCATGACTCCCATTTTTTATCAAATAAGTGCATCTTATCCAGAAGAGTATAGTGAATGCGTTCCATGAGCATTACAGCATCAATTCTGTGTAGGATGGAGGCCAAGGGTACAGCATTGGACCTCCAGTGTAAGGCAATAGACCATAAAGTGGCAATACATATAGTATGTATCAATCTCATAATGGCATCAGGGACCCCTGGGATATTAGCCCCCAATAGACAGGTCTGTATAGACAAGCGTACTGGGATACCCGCCAGTGAGGTAGCCACCTCGGATATCCTGCACCAAATCAAAGATATGGATGGGCATCCCAAAATATATGCAGCAAAGTGCCTGTAAGGCCACAGCCCCGGAAACACAGAGGGGACGTTTGTGAGAACAATATATGTAGTCTTGATGGGGTATAATACCATCTGGTTAAAACCTTAAGGGCCGTCTCACGAACAGAAAGAGATCGAGAGCTTTTACATATGTTGTCCACCATGGAATCCCAATCCTCATCTGAAAAAGTGGTACCACTATCCTCCTTCCATTTTAGTCGGTATAAAGGAGGTGTATGAAAAAGACAGAGCAAAGATTGGTGATAAAAATTAGAAATAAGGCCCCTACTCCTAGGACAGTCACGGCTGGTACATTCAAAAAAGGAAATCAGAGACGAAGGTATAAGGCCAAAGTGTGATTTAAAAAAGTGTCTAATCTGTCGGTAACGATGGTACACATGAAGGGGAATATCAAAAAGCGCGCGCAGCATATCAAAGGTGATGTAAGATCCTCCTCTTTGAAAATCAGATAATCTTATAAGAGATTGATCATACCACCAACGAAACAGTTGAGGAGAAGAAAAAGCTGCTGCAAAAGTAGGATCACCAAAAAATGAGATATCGGGGGGAATAGGAGAGTCCAAATTTAATTTAAATTTGTATTTGGACCAAAGTGTCAGTGAATGGGTCACTATGAAGTTATAAAAGGTAAGCGATCGTGGGGAGATTTTGGACCACAAAATACCCGGTAAGTAGAATAGGCATATAGACTGATATTTGAACTTGACCCATGGGATCTGAGAGTTAATAGTTGCCCATTGTGATAGCTGCGTAAAATGAGCCGAAAGGTAATATAGCCAAAAATTGGGAAGACCGAGACCTCCAGTCCGTTGTGAGCGGTATAAAATAGATGAAGCAAAATGTGGACGCTTATTACACCAGATAAAATTATTAATGGTTCGCTGAAAGTGGTTTAGAAACGTTTTTGAGACCGGAACTGGAAGTGCTCTAAAAAGATAAAGAAGTTTAGGCAAAATATTCATTTTAACAGCCGTGACTCTACCCAGGAAGGAAATAGGGTAACCATGCCAAATCTTCAGTAAAGTAGAGAGACGTGATACACATGGTGGATAATTATCAGCAAACATATCCGAGTATCTGGGAGTGAGATTAATACCTCAATAGGATATCTGATCTGTGGACCAGCGGAATGGAAAAGAACTACGGAGAGATGCACTTAGGGAATCAGGAATATTAACTGGCAGAACCACCGATTTGGTAAAGTTAACAGTAAGACCTGACGCTATAGAAAAATCGTTCAGTATGGCACATAAATAAGGCAATGAAGTCAATGGGTTAGTAAGAAAAAGCATAACATCATCAGCATACATGCTTATTTTGAAATGTGAGACTAGTAATGGGTAGCCTGAAATATCTGGATGTGATCTGATCACTACTGCCAAAGGTTCCAACAGCAGCGCAAATAAAAGGGGTGAAAGAGGACAGCCCTGACGGGTACCTCTACCCAATGTAAAAAAGTCCGAATTACAGCCAGGGAGCCTAATTCTTTTTTTTGGAGAGTCATATAGGGCGTGTATACCAGCTAAAAACTCGTCATTAAAGCCCATTTTTTGTAGCAAGGAAAATAAATAGGGCCAAAGAACACTGTCAAAGGCCTTACTTATATCTAGACTCATCAGCAGAACCTCTTTAGAATGTAAATTGGCATCTTGAATAACATTTAGCGTGAGGCGAATATTATCAGTAATGAATCTGTCAGGAATTGTCAGGGATCGGGGTGTGACCAGAAATGTGTGGACTGATACAGGGAAGTAGCAGGCTTCAGGAACACACGCGTAGTCAGGACTGGAGAGGTGGAATGGTCAGGCGGGCCGTAAGGTACTGACAGGCACCGCCCGGCGGGATCTCTAGTGACCCACAGAACAGGATTCCCCAGTGCGCGGAGTCTAAGCCCCAGTCTGCCTTTTCACCAGAGCCCCTGATGGTGGGGATGGACTTGGCGCAGGACTGAGACCAGGTCGCGGCCCCTGAGTGCACCCAACTGTGGTAGAGGGGTCCGCCGAGCGTATGTACCGGGGGAAAGCCTGATGTGAAGGGGCTGGCAGGTTTGCACAGTAGTGACTGGTTCCGTGCGGGATGGATGGATCGTCTGGGTAGCGTCAGGCGTAGTCAGGCAGGCCAGGTCTGCAATGTGCGGGCAGTGAGGTACCGGAGGAGCAGGCAGAGAATAGTCAGGGTCACAAGCCGGGTTCAGTAACTCACGGGCAGCGCGGTACAGAGGATCAGGCAGAAGGATGGTCAGGCAAGCCAGGGGTTCAACAGGAGACGGTCAGCAGAGGTCAGGATCAAAGCAGGGTCAGCAACTAGGCAGATAGGCAGGAACACAGGATACCAGGTACAGGGGCTCATGGGAAACATACACCAAGGCACTGATCACAGGCCTGGTCCTGCTTAAATGCACCTCCTGCAATCAGCTTCAGCTGATGGCTGACTGCAGGAGTGAGCTTCTGGTTGCTGAGAGCACCCGCTGGCCAGCCCTGGTACTGCAGCCCACACGGCAGGTGAGTCCCACCACCAGTGGTGAATCCATTCCTGACAGTACCCCCCCTCAAGGAGCGGCCTCAGGACACTCCAAACAGTCCTAAGTGAGCAAAATGTTCCACCGCCCGGGTCAGGTAACTGGCTGAATATCCTACTTCCGGAGTCAACCGGCTGGCTGGGTTTCCTGCTGGTAGACTTCTTTTTGTGTAGGAGAACCCAGGAAGGCAGGTTACTGGACACAGGATCTCCAGGAGCAGGCTGGGAACCAGTTATTGGCCAGTTTAGCTGGACATCAGAGGCTGGCACGTCAGGCTGGGCAGCGGACAGAGGCACATCAGGCTGGGGCACCAAGTCATCTGGCACGACAGCGGGCACCGAGTCATCTGGCACGACAGCGGGCACCGAGTCACCAAGCTCGACAGCGGGCACCGAGTCATCTGGCAAGTCAGCGGGCACCGAGTCATCTGGCATGACAGCGGACACCAAGCCATCTAGCAGAACCGCGGGCACCGGGTTACCAAGCTTGACAGCGGGCAACGAGTCATCTGGTACGACAGCGGGCAACGAGTCATCTGGCACGACAGCGGGCAACGGGTCATCTGGCTGGATCGGGTCATCAGGCCGGGTAGGATCATCCAGCTAGGTAGCTTACACTGGGTCAACAGGCATCCGGGCATCAGGCTGAACAAAAGGCGGGTTCTCAGACCGCAGGCTGACTGGTTTGGATACTGGCAGGATGGTACTGGTTGGAAAGAATTTTCGCCTTTTCCTGGTTTTAGTTACTGGAGCACTGTAAGTAAACGCAGGTCTGTAAACGGATAGAGCAGCTGAAGGCAGAGAAGTGCTGGGGGATGGAACAAAGGAGGGAGCAGTTGCTACAGAGGACTTCTTTACAGGGTTAAAGGCAGGATAGGTGCAGCGAGTGGGAACAGGGGACTGACATGTGGTAGCTAGCAGGGTATACTGGGCTGTCATTGGGGGTGCTGTCGGGAATGCAGGAATAGAGCTTTGAGCAGAGGGAGTGATGAGAAGCAGGACTGGTTTGTTGCAAGCTAACTGAGGCTGGGTGTAACAAGTCTGACCAGGACTGTAGTATTGGTTGAACAAAGCTCAGCTTGCGCATAGCCTGTCTGACCAAAGACTGCACTGCGTTTATACAATCCATTAGCACCTGTGGTGAACATGCTGAATAATGCTGCAAGAAGAAATCTGGATCCTCCTCCAATAACCACACCAGTGACTCTACTTGGTCTGTACTAAATGGCGGCAAAAAGTCATCCCTGCTTTCAGGGGTACCAGATGAAGCTAACTCCGCACAAACCTGAATCAATGGTTGCACCTCAGAGAACTCCGTGCCCTGATCTACTAGGAGATGAGCGATCTGTATGCATTCTAGCAGCTGATCCCTGGTATACTCCTGCAGAGTCTGATAGGCATAATCTCTGTCATCAAAGACTAGCAGAGATAAATACACAACCTCATCAGGATGCATCCTTCCCAGCAAGAAGCCAAGATGGCTTCCCTGTGCAGCCACTTCTGGTCAGGAATGGCCTTGGTGTAATGTCAGGGATCGGGGTGTGACTAGAAATGTGTGGACTGATACAGGGAAGTAGCAGGCTTCAGGAACACACGCGTAGTCAGGGCTGGAGAGGTGGAATGGTCAGGCGGGCCACAAGGTACTGTCAGGCACCGCCCGGCGGGATCTCTAGTGACCCACAGAACAGGATTCCCCAGTGCGCGGAGTCTAAGCCCCAGTCTGCCTTTTCACCAGAGCCCCTGATGGTAGGGATGGACTTGGCGCAGGACTGAGACCAGGTCGCGGCCCCTGAGTGCACCCAACTGTGGTAGAGGGGTCCGCCGAGGGTATGTACCGGGGGAAAGCCTGATGTGAAGGGGCTGGCAGGTTTGCACAGTAGTGACTGGATTGGGATGGATGGATCGTCTGGGTAGCGTCAGGCATAGTCAGGCAGGCCAGGTCAGCAACATGCGGGCAGTGAGGTACCGGAGGAGCAGAGAATAGTCAGGGTCACAAGCCGGGTTCAGTAACTCACGGGCAGCACGGTACAGAGGATCAGGCAGAAGGATGGTCAGGCAAGCCAGGGGTTCAACAGGAGACGGTCAGCAGAGGTCAGGATCAAAGCAGGGCCAGCAACTAGGCAAGAACACAGGATACCAGGTACAGGGACTCATGGCAAACATACACCAAGGCACTGATCACAGGCCTTGTCCTGCTTAAATGCACCTCCTGCAATCAGCTTCAGCTGATCGCTGACTGCAGGAGTGAGCTTCTGGTTGCTGAGAGCACCCGCTGGCCAGCCCTGGTACTGCAGCCCACACGGCAGGTGAGTCCCACCACCGGTGGTGAATCCATTCCTGACAGGAATAAAGCCCGATTGGTTCGGAGAGACTAAAGAGGAGATAATAGGGGCCAACCTGTCTGCCAAAATTCGGCTAAATATTTTCAGATTATTATTCATTACTGAGATTGGTCTATAGTTTTGTGGTAAACTATGGTCTTTCTGTGGTTTAGGTATTAAAGACATATTAGCCAATAGCATCTCCTCCGGGAACTTACCCCCCTGCAAAACATCATTAAATAAAGTTATCAGATAGGGAGCCAACGTAGAGGCAAAATGTTTGTAATAACTAGCAGTGAATCCGCCCGGACCCCGGTGCAGTAGAACTTTTTAGCGCGCTAATCGCACAAGTTATTTCCTCCAAAGTACAGGGGGCATTAAGAGAAGCAACCTGAGGAGGTGTAAGAGCAGGAAGGGGTATAGAATCCAGCCATGAGACAGCTGGTGGAACAGAATCCGACCGTGGAGGAGCTAATAGGTTAGAATAAAAGTTTTCAAAAATGCCCAAAACCTCCTGAGGTAAAGATGAGATAGCGCCCGAGTTAGTACGTAATTTATAAATATGTGGGGGGCGCAGAGAGTGATTCAATTTCCTTGCAAAGATAGTGGATGCTGAGTTGCTATGTAACAAAAACGAGGCCTTTGACCAGCGGAGAGCTTTTTCAGTTTTTTGGGATAGCAGAGTATTCAATTCTAAGCGCTTTTGAGATAACTGTTTATTAAGAAGAGATGGGTTAGCAATATGACTTCTATAATGTGCTTCTAACTCTCGGGTAAGAAGCAGAATTTGCTGCCATCGTTTTCTATTTCTGGATGAAGCCATAGAGATAAGACGGCCACGTAGGACCACCTTATGGGCTACCCATAGTGTGGCTGGAGATATATCAGGAGTTGAGTTAGACTGAAAATATTCCTGAATAGATGTAATCACCTCATGGCGGGAGTCAACGTCCGTAAGCATGGAGTCATTGAGTCTCCAAGAGAAGGGGGTAGGTGCCAATCCCATACATGTGATAGATAAGGCCATAATATTGTGATCCGACCAAGGACTCAAGTGGATGCAAGCTGTCCTAAAATTAGCTAGTAAAATAGGGGTGCAATAGATATAGTCTAATCTAGCATAAGAGTCATGTGGGTGAGAATAAAATGAATAGTCCCTGGCTCCCGCATTGTGCGCCCTCCAGGCGTCCACCAACTGGAGGGCATCTAGTTTTTTAGTAAGGGATTTTGGGAAAGCCTGGGAAGAGTGCGAGGGTGAGCTGCGGTTCAAAAGAGGGTTTGCTACCAGGTTGAAATCACCACCCACCAACAGATGGGGGGACAAAAATCTATCAAGAACATCAAAAAATTTAGAGAAAAAGGAAGCTTGTGCCGAATTCGGTGCAAAAACATTTGCTATTGTAAGTTCTCGGCCTGAAAGGGTGCCCTTAAGAATAATAAACCTACTGTCTGGATCACGATACACATGTTGAACCTCAAAGGGGAATGAATTATGTAGAAAGATGGCCACCCCTCTACTCTTGGAGGAATGTAGGGTATAATACCCCTGTCTATAAGATTTATGGAAATATGTCGGGTGTTTTGCGGCTGAAAAATGTGTTTCCTGTAATAAGATAATTTTTAGCCCCTAGTCGCTTATATTGGAGAAAGACTGTTTTGCGCTTGTTGGTGAATTGAAACCCTGGACATTATGTGAGATACATTGAACCACCATAGTATACATAAGTTATTGCCATCAGCATAAAATACACATTGAAAAGACATCTCCTAGAATTATTTGGCTAGACATAAGGACCCGCAAGTCCACAACAAACAGATTTACAGGCAGCATTACCAGTCTAGGGGACATCCAGACCCCAAAATGGGGGCCGTGACGTCCACACACCGGCACCAAGCCAACATCATGTACTAAAGCTTTGAGTAAAGAAAAGGCAAAAAAAATAGAAGTGAAGCTGTGAGAGCTTCTACAATTAAAAGGGTAACTGAAAGACATGGATCAGGCAGGCAATTAGCCATACCTGAAAAAAAATACAAAAACTTCTAACATCAAAGGGCCAAATGGGCCCAAACCCTGTCTCCGTAAAACATGGAAAACGGAGCTGCAACCCCACAATCGGGCGGTGACTCCTCCAGCCATGTCAGGCGGCAGGGTGGGGTAACGTGCTCAAGAGTTTTGAGACCATGAATCAATGGACGGCATTAAGAGGGCCCAAAGACCCTTGTTAAAGCTAAACACAACCAGTTATCAACAAGAGAGCATACATAGTCCACAGAAACACAGGAACATCACGGCAGCGTCCACAAAAACACACATCCCGAAGATGTAGGAGACGCTATTAAGCAAAATCCCTGTGTGTTGGTTCCCATCCCAATCAAGGGAAACTGCGGACCAGGACCAAGGACTATCAATACAATGAACAATAGGCAGGAGGGCATGGTCCTGTCATCCCGGTTCTTGTCGGGCTCTCCTCCCATCCCTACGTGGAGATGGAGTGTGCCAGATGGGAGAGACATGAGGGGTGGAGGGTGGACGCTGAGGCGATGGGCGCCCGCCAGGCCCAACTTGGTCAGGATCTCTCTACCTTTGGGAAGGGATGTAGCAATATATGTGCTCCCATTATATGGAACTATCAGCTTAAAAGGGAAGCCCTATTTATAACAGATACGAGCTGAAAAAGGCCGTTGTAATCTCCTTCATTTTTATACGTTTCTCCAACGTAGCCGGAGAAACATCTGGAAAGATTTGTAAAACCGAGCCTTCGAAGGAGATCGTTGGGGTATTGCGGGCAGCTCTGAGTATGTCTTCTTTGGTCAGGAAATCCTTCAGGCACAGAACAATGTCCCTAGGCGGTTTATCATCAGGAAGTTTAGGGCGCAGGGCTCTATGGATGCGGTCACAGGCAAAGGACCCAGGACTGCAATCCGGAAGGAGTGATTTGAATAACTTGGTTACGGTTTGGGAAAGATCAGACACAGATTCCGGAATTCCCCTGACTCGCAGATTATTCCTGTGATTGTGATTATCAAGGTCCTCAACCTGTGCCAGCAATTGTAAGAAGGCCGTTTGTAGATAGCCGTGTTCTCTGGAAAGGTCTCCATAGGCCTGGCTAAGTTTATCATGTTTAGTTTCCAAACAGTCGGTTCTAGAGCCCAATGTGGCTATTTCCTGAGAGAGAGCATTAGTGCTTTTGTGTAATTCCATTTGGAATTTGGCAGCCAGTTTGGTGTACATGGTTTCCAAGCAAGATTCCAGGTCACCCTTTGTGAGCTGCTGTGTATATTCACTGACCAGAGTTAATGAAGGAGCTGTGATATCTTGCATGGGGTCAGATGGGGACG